AGGAAAGTATATAGTAATACAAGCCTTTCTCAAGAAACAAGAAAGGTCTCAAATACACAACCTAACTCTACACCTAAAGGAGCTGGAGAAAGAACAGCAAATAAAGCCTAAACCCAGCAGGAGAAGAGAAATCATAAAGAAATCAGAGCAGAAATCAATGAAATAGAAACCAAAAGAACAGTAGAACAGATCAACAAAACTAGGAGCTGGTTCTTTGAGAGAATTAACAAGATTGATAAACCCCTGGCCAGACTTCTCAAAAAGAAAAGAGAAATGACCCAAATCAACAAAATCATGAATGAAAGAGGAGAGATCACAACCAACACCAAAGAAATACAAACAAGTATAAGAACAAAGTATGAGCAACTCTATGCCAGCAAATTAGATAACCTGGAAGAAATGGGTGCATTCCTATAGATGTATCAACTACCAAAATTGAACCAGGAAGAAATAGAAAACCTGAACAGACCTATAGCCACTAAGGAAATTGAAGCAGTCATCAAAAATCTCCCAAGAAACAAAAGCCCAGGGCCAGATGGCTTCCCAGGGGAATTCTATTGGACATTTATTTATTTATTTTTAAAGATTTTATTTATTTATTTGAGAGAGAGAGAATGAGAGAGAGAGAGCACGAGAGGGAAGAGGGTCAGAGGGAGAAGCAGACCCCCTGCCCAAGCAGGGAGCACGATGCGGGACTCGATCCCGGGACTCCAGGATCATGACCTGAGCCGAAGGCAGTCGCTTAACCAACTGAGCCACCCAGGCGCCCTCCATCAGACATTTAAAGAAGAATTAATACCTATTCTCCTGAAACTGTTCCAAAAAATAGAAATGGAAGGAAAACTTCCAAACTCATTTTATGAGGCCAGCATTACCTTGATCCCAAAACCAGACACAGACCCCATCAAAAAGGAGGATTACAGACCAATATCCTTGATGAACATGGATGCAAAAATTCTCACCAAAATACTAGCCAATAGGATCCAACAGTACATTAAAAGGATTATTCACCATGACCAAGTGGGATTTATCCCTGGGCTGCAAGGCTGGTTCAACATCCGCAAATCAATCAACGTGATACAATACATTAACAAAAGAAAGAACAAGAATCATATGATCCTCTCAATAGATGCAGAAAAAGCATTTGACAAAATACAGCATCCTTTCTTGATCAAAACTCTTCAGAGTATAGGGATAGACGGTACATACCTCAATATCATAAAAGCCATCTATGAAAAACCTACAGTGAATATCATTCTCAATGGGGAAAAGCTGAGAGCTTTTCCCCTAAGGTCAGGAACGCGGCAGGGATGTCCACTCTCACCACTGCTATTCAACATAGTATTAGAAGTCCTAGCCACAGCAATCAGACAACAAAAGAAATCAAAGGCATCCAAATCGGCAAAGAGGAAGTCAAACTCTCACCCTTTGCAGATGATATGATACTTTATGTGGAAAACCCAAAAGACTCCACCGCAAAACTGCTAGAACTCATACAGGAATTCAGTAAAGTAGCAGGATATAAAATCAATGCACAGAAATCAGTGGCATTCCTATACACCAACAACAAGACAGAAGAGAGACAAATCAAGGAGTCAATCCCATTTACAATTGCCCCCCAAACCATAAGATACCTAGGAATAAATTTAACCAAAGAGTTAAAGGATCTGTACTCAGAAAAGTATAAAATACTCATGAAAGAAATTGAAGAAGACACAAAGAAATGGAAAAACGTTCCATGCTCATGGATTGGGAGAACCAACATTGTGAAGATGTCAATGCTACCTAGAGCAATCTACACATTCAGTGCAATCCCCATCAAAATACCATCCACTTTTTTCAAAGAAATGGAACAAATAATTCTAAAATTTGTATGGAACCAGAAGAGACCCCGAATAGCCAGAGAAATATTGAAAAAGAAAAGCAAAGCTGGCGGCATCACACTTCCGGACTTCCAGCTCTAATACAAAGCTGTCATCATCAAGACAGTATGGTACTGGCACAAAAACAGACACATAGATCAATGGAACAGAATAGAGAGCCCAGAAATGGACCAGAAATGGCAAAAAGACAGTCTCTTCAACAAATGGTGTTGGGAAAATTGGACAGCCACATGCAGAAGAATGAAACTGGACCATTTCCTTACAGCACACACAAAAATAGACTCCAAATGGTTGAAAGACCTAAATGCGAGACAGGAGTTCATCAAAATCCTAAAGGAGAACACAGGTAGCAACCTCTTCGACCTCAGCCGCAGCCACTTCTACCTAGAAACACCGCCAAAGGCAAGGGAAGCAAGGGCAAAAATGAACTACTGGGATTTCATCAAGATAAAAAGCTTTTGCACAGCAAAAGAAACAGTCCACAAAACAAAAAGACAACCAACAGAATGGGAGAAGATATTTGCAAATGACATATCAGATAAAGGGCTAGTATCCAAAATCTATAAAGAACTTATCAAAGTCAACACCCAAAGAACAAATAATTCAATCAACAAATGGGCAGAAGACACGAACAGACATTTTTCCAAAGAAGACATCCAAATGGCCAACAGACACATGAAAAAGTGCTTAACATCGCTCGGCATCAGGGAAATCCAAATCAAAACCTCCATGAGATACCACCTCACACCCATCAGAATGGCTCAAATTAACAAGTCAGGAAACGACAGATGTTGGCGGGGATGTGGAGAAAGCGGAACCCTCCTCCACTGTTGGTGGGAATGCAAGCTGGTGCAACCCCTCTGGAAAACAGTATGGAGGTTCTTTAAACAGTTGAAACTAGCGCTACCATACGATCCAGCAATTGCACTACTGGGTATTTACCACAAAGATACAAATGTAGGGATCCGAAGGGGTATGTGCTCCCCAATGTTTATAGCAGCAATGTGCACAATAGCCAAACTGTGGAAAGAGCCAAGATGTCCATCGACAGATGAATGGATAAAGAAGATGTGGTATATATAGACAATGGAATATTATGCAGCCATCAAAAGGAGTGAGATCTTGCCACTTGCAATGACGTGGATGGAAGTGGAGGGTGTTATGCTGAGTGAAATAAGTCAATCAGAGAAAGACATGTATCATATGACCTCACTGATATGAGGAATTCTCAATCTCAGGAAACAAACTGAGGGTTGCTGGAGTGGTGGGGGGTGGGAGGGATGGGGTGGCTGGGTGATAGACATTGGGGAGGGTGTGAGCGCTGTGAATTGTGCAAGACTGTTGAATCACAGATCTGTACTTCTGAAACAAACAATGCAACATATGTTAAGAAAAAAGAAGATAGCAGGAGGGGAAGAATGAAGGGGAGTAAGTCAGAGGGGGAGACGAACCATGAGAGAGGATGGACTCTGAAAAACAAACTCAGGGTTCTAGAGGGGAGGAGAGTAGGGGGATGGGTTAGCCTGGTGATGGGTATTAAAGAGGGCACGTTCTGCAGGGAGCACTGGGTGTTATGCACAAACAATGAATCATGGAACACTACATCAAAAACTAATGATGTAATATATGGTGATTAACATAACTAAAAAAAATTAAAAAAAAGATATCGTTTGCTTAGCTGGTGGTCCAGATTTTGAAAGTTATATCTCTGATTTGCATTTGAGAGTTGGCACAAGTTCAGTTATATGCTTTGAAAATTTGTGATTCCACATAAAGAATTGTAAAAAAAAAAAATTCAAAACCTATCCTTTTACCTTTTTGCTCATCCTGCCCAAAGTAATTTATTTTTTTTCTGGTCCAAGCAGATCTACAGTCTACAATGTCCATCTGAGCGACAGGGCAAAATTTTTGGCTGTTTATTCCGATATCAGTGTACTCAAGTAAGTGTAGCTGACAATGCACCTTTAATCCAAATGGTTTTGCATAATTTGAGAAATATGGACAAAAGTAAAAGAATAGGGGCACCTGGGTGTCTCAGCTGGTTAAGCGACTGCCTTTGGCTCAGGTCATGATCCCGGAGTCCCACATCAGGCTCCCAACTCAGCAGGGAGTCTGCTTCTCCCTCTGACCCTCTCCTCTCTCATACTACCTCTTTCTCCCTCTCAAATAAATAGGTAAAATCTTAAAAAAAAAAATCCCTAAAACTAAAAGAATAATTCCCATTGTACTCTACTGTGGATGCAGAATACCTGCACTGTGAATTGGGAGCTAATAGGAAAGAGAATGCCCCTAATATAAACTAGATTATAGAGCAATTTAAAAAATGTGTTTCATTATAGTTCAGTATAAATAACAGAATTCTTCAAATTTACATGATTTTTTTTCTATGTACATTCTGGGATCTCTGATAATTGAATACAACTTCAAAAGGGCTTAAGCCAGTGACCTCAAAACGAAGTTCCCAGAACAGTACACAATGATGAAACCTGAAGCAATAAAGCGCCGCTGAACTGAAATGTAAACATTCATATTATTAGGACATGACTGAATTTTCACTTGATTTAATTTTGTTTTGGAGTCCTATTGGGTTGTCTTCGGACACCTCCCTTTCATATCTTAAATTGTGTCTCAAGGGTGTTAGAGAATTCAACAGTCTGGGGCACCCCAATAACGTTTAGCATATAGTTCGTGTTATGTTACAGAGCACTTTCTGAATATAGGCGTTACCTATACTGACTCCCCCCGGGCGAAAGGAGGCACATTTACATTTCAGGGTCCCTTTTATTGGCTGGAGTTGGTAAAATCTCAATTCCTACACTTTTTTCCCCCAGGAGGCTCAGAGGCCACTAGTCCTGCAAGACACACGTACCATGCTCACCGTCTTCGGAACCAGCAGTCTCCGCAGAGCCTGCCCCAGCTGCTGGGAAAGGAGACTGCGCGGAAGGAAGGAGTCCGATTCGCGGCCGCTCGCGGGCGGGGGACGGGGAACGGGGAGGGGCGGTGCCGGCGCGCGCGCGGGCGGGGTGTGCGCGCCGCCGCCGCCGCCGCGTCACCAGCGTGCGGCACGTGCCCGTGTTTACGTCCCTCGTGGAGCAACCTACGTCAGCAGCCAAATGGCAACATTGTGGCGATACTGAGGGTTACAGTTTAGGAGACGCGTCTATCCGTCAGGCCGGCTCCGGGCGGTCGGGAAGAGGAGGAGAAGGAGGAGGGGCGGGGAGATCGGCCTGGACGAGCGGCGGAGACGCACACATCGCCGGCCCCTACCGCCTACCGGCCTGCCCGGCCCCGCAGGACCCGCTCCTCACCTTCCGAGAGCCGCAGACGCAGCACCGCGGCCTCGCGCTGGGGGCGGCCGGGACGGGCGCGAGGCGCTGCCGCAGCACTGGGCTTGTAAACAGATCCAGCCGCACGTGACCATGTGAACTACCTGCTCCGGGGACGCGTATTGTCTTTCCCGCGAGCCGCCACAAAGGAAAGCGGCGGGTTCAAGTGAGGAGGGCCGGGCGAGTAAACGGGGAGAGCCGGCTGGCGCGCTAAGATGGCCGAAGGCGCTCAGCGAGGGTGAGCGGGGGGCGCGGTGCAGCCAGCCGGTGAGTCTTCGAGCGGGCAGGGCCAGCGGCGCCTCCCCCGCGGCCTGGCACCGGAGCCACCATGTCGTTCGCGCTGGAGGAGACGCTCGAGTCGGACTGGGTGGCCGTGCGGCCCCATGTGTTCGACGAGCGCGAGAAGCACAAGTTCGTCTTCATTGTGGCCTGGAACGAGATTGAGGGCAAGTTTGCCATAACCTGCCACAACCGGACCGCCCAGAGGCAGAGGAGCGGCTCCCGGGAGCAGGCGGGGGCACCCGCGTCCGACGGGACCCGCGGGCCAGGCAGCCCAGCGGGCAAGGGCCGGCCCGAGGCCACTGTCTCTGCGACTCTGGGTAGGAGCCCGGGGCCCCGGAGGAACCCGGCCTGGGGGGAGGGCGGCTCTCCGCGGAGCGCGCGCAGCCTTCGGGGGGACCCGCTGCTGCGGTGTCCCGCCGGCAAAGGGGCGGAGAGCCCCCTCAGGAGCCCAGTGCGGGCCAAGACCAGCCCGGTCCGAAGGAGATCTGAAGGCAAAGATGTGGCGGGGGCCGTTACAGCAGCACCCCCGCCGGCGTCCAGGGAGGCCCCGGTGTCCTCCGTGCGAGTAGTGAGCACTTGTGGGGTGGTTTCCGAGGAGATAGAGGTGCTGGAAATGTTGAGGGAAGACGAGGTGGCCCCGGCGGCCCTGGCGCTCTCAGACGCGGAGCAGCCGCCTTCCACTATCGAGCTGGAGTCCCCGGCCGAGGAGTGTAGCTGGGCCGGGCTCTTCTCCTTCCAGGATCTGCGTGCTGTGCACCAGCAGCTGTGTTCTGTGAACTCGCAGCTGGAACAGTGCCTGCCCGTATTCCCCGAGGAGCCCTCTGGCATGTGGACCGTGCTGTTCGGGGGCGCTCCAGAGATGACCGAGCAGGAGATCGACACTCTGTGTTATCAGCTCCAAGTCTACCTGGGCCATGGCCTGGACACCTGCGGCTGGAAGATCCTCTCCCAGGTACTTTTCACTGAGACCGACGATCCCGAGGAGTATTACGAAAGTCTTAGCGAGCTGCGGCAGAAGGGCTACGAAGAAGTGCTTCAGCGGGCCAGGAAGCGCATCCAGGAGGTAAGAACCTAGTCTGGGCTCCAGTCGTTGCTTTTGGGTACTCACTGCCGGAGGCTGGAGCCTCAGTCCGGGCTGTGATCATTTGGGAGACTTTTTCTTCTGGACCGGAAAAGCGGAAGAAGATGGGTTCGTTACCAGTCAGCCCCTTAATTCCTTTCAGTAGTGGGAGAACCGTGGATTTTCTTAATTGGCCCTCTGAAGGAACTTTAAGTCTTTAGATTTCCTCTTCCCATTCATCAAATAGGTTCTGTATAATCAGTGGTGTGTTTACTACTCAGTGCTGCAAGTAAGATTAAAGCCACTCGGAAAAAAGGCGACCCAGCATTTCGTTTCTCTTTTGCCTTTCTTTCCACCAATAACTGCCCAGATATTAACCCTACTTTTCTGATGTCCTGTTCATTTACTTAAAATATATTTGTCGCAGGGAATACAGTTGGTCTTCTTTTTAATCTCCGTTTGCAGTTTGGCAACTTAGGCAAATTTTAAATTCATTTTACTTCAAATGAGGGAATTGTCCAAATCAAAAAGCACCATATGAATGTATTTTTTAAAGGCTTATGCATAGTCTCGAGTCTTTATAGCTGACTGATGTTCAACTCCTGTTTTAGGGAGAAAAAAAGGTCTTGGGCAGGAATGTTTATTATACTTTTGTACTTGTAAAAGTAGTACAAAGCATTTTCAAACTACCTTACACAAAATTACAGGAAATAATGGAAGAGGTCTGCATAGGTATATATGAGGAGGTCCATGGTTTGTAGGATATACATAATTTGAGGTCACGCCTACCCAACAGCTTCTGCTGAAAGAACTGTACAAAAAAAAAAAAGTATTTTAAAATATACTTTAGTTTTTGGGTCACCTGGCTGGTTCAGTCAATAACCCCTGCAACTCTTGATCTTGGGGTTGTGGATTTGAGCCCCATGTTGGGTGTAGAGATTACTTAAAAAAGTCTTTAAAAATATATATATACTTTAGTTTTCCCAATGGGCACGAACAGATACTTCCTCAAAGCTATTATTTTTAGTATTAGTACCAGTTGAGGTTAGAGGTGGCGTCGGGAAATGCCCCCTTTTATGGTGTTTATAATCCTGACATTGTGTTGTCATCTGTTAACTTTGCCTGTGTTTATAAAAGACTCGAATCCTGCTATTAAGGCTAGGAAACTCGTACCTCCTTGTTTCTGCATGGAATTGTCTGTATTTTTCATTGCTAGATTTGGGGCATAAGGAATTTTTTTTTTCTTATTTAACCCACAGTGCTCTCCTACAACTTCCTGAATCCAGGTTTTCATTCTTTCCTGTTACTTTACTTTGTGCTAAGCATTACCCACCTGGTAATGCTATCCTAGAATCCTAAGGATGTTTTTATTTCCCTCTTTTTTAAATTTTTTTTTAAGATTTTATTTATTAGAGAGCTCACGTGTTCATGCATGAGTGGGGGGTGAGGGACAGGGGGAGAGAGAGAAGCAGACTCCCTACTGAGCCGGAAGCCCCACATGGGCTCCCAGAACTCTGGGATCATGACCTGAGCGGAAGGCATACGCTTAACCAACTGAGCCACCCAGGCGCCCGACAGGGGGAGAGAGAAGCAGACTCCCTACTGAGCAGGGAGCCCCACACGGGCTCCCAGAACTCTGGGATCATGACCCGAGCGGAAGGCATATGCTTAACGAACTGAGCCACCCAGGCGCCCCTAATTCCCTCTTTATCATCTACTTCTGGAATGTGTTCTACCTTAATTCTTTTTGGAAGGAAGTGATAAATTTTAAATGGTCACATATATTCTTTTTAGAGTTTTGTTAACATTGACCTGTATTTCTTTTAAACTGTGTGGACAAAATTAATATTTCTTTCTTATACTTTTTTGTTAAACTTTATATATATATACTTTTAAGGTTTTTATTTATTAGCAAGAGAGTGCACATGAGCTGACGGGCTGTGGGCAGAGGCAGAAGCAGACTCTGTGCTGAGCAGGGAGCCTGACCGGGCTCAATCCCAGGACCCCGAGCCAAAGTCAGATGCTTAACCGACTGAGCCACCCAGGCGCCCATAAACTTTGTATTTCTTATATCTCTAAATGATGTAGACTTGTTTAGTTTTAATTTTATTGGTACTCGAGAAAGTAATTTTGTCTGGTTTCATTCAAATAGGGTCAAAAATGAGAGTTGCCAAAAAATATAATTACAGTTTTCTGGAACTCTTTTCATGGGAGTGGAGGGTTACAGTTTTTAAAAGAATATTTTTTTTCCTAATTAAGGTTATGTTGACTGTGATGTTGTGTTCTCTTTAACCGAAAAATTTAAAGTTTTAAAGAGTATTTTGTGTTCTGGAAGGCAACTCAAATGAAGTTTATTATAAATTCATTGCACATTAAATATATAAAATTTTGGTGCTTCATTTAGTTGATTTGAACAGTATTTGAAAAATAATTACCATGACAACAAATAGACTCAGTTATAATGCTCACCCTGATATCTATTGGAAGTTTATATTGAAAGAAATGAAGTTTAGTAGGGAGATAAGGTGGTGTGATTAATTAGTGACTTCTGTGCGCTTGATAACGGGAGTGTAAGAGCATGGCAGACATGTTTTTTTTGTTTTTTCTTAGCTGCTTAAAATAGTTTGCAGTAACTTTCTTCAGGGAAAATAATTATAGAAATTGTGTCATTTTTGTATTATTGATTTTGTTAAATTTACATCTAATTTAATGATTTTGTTCCCATTGTGTGGGAGTGGTTATAAAGGTGTTCAAGCCAGGTATATCTGGTAAATCAAACACATTCTTAGGTATATGTTATTTAGAAAATTTACACTTTTGGGTTTGTTTGGTTTTTTTTCTAATTTAATTTCTCTGGATCTGTTTTCTGCTCCCCCCCCAGTATTCCATTTCCTATTTAAAGCCTTCAGCTTAAAGGCCACACCTGTTTTTGTTCAAAATGGTCAGTTGTGAAAAGGAGGTGTTTTGTTTTGTTTTTTGGGTTTTTTTTTTTTTTTTTTTTACTAGAACAGACTGTGCAACTAGACTGTAAACTTCTCAAGGTCACTGGCCTTGACAGTATCTTGGAATTCTCTTTGCCATCCCTAGTTCAGGGCCACACATCTTGTGAGCACTCTTAATATTTGTGGACCAAGGACACAAGAGGTGTTCTTGTTTTTGTTGTTGTTGCTTTTTAGTATTACAAGAATTCAAAGGATTTGGAAGAAGGGTCTTTTTGAGTTAAAGCTCTGGGTAAATTAAAATTTTTATATTGATAAATGTAAATTCTACATAAGGGACCATGCTATTTAGAAACAGAGTAAAATCTTTTAAAACTGTAAATAACTTTCTAAATAAGAGGTCTTTATCTGGGGTTCGTGAATTCCCTCTAAATTGAGGGGAGCTATAAAGTGGCATGCTAAGTTTTATATGATCTGCATTTTTGGAGAGAGGCTTTTATCAAATTATTTAAGGTGTTCTTCAGAAAGAGCTTTAAAACCATAATTGTAAATCATTTGCTTTTTAAGCTTTGGGCATACTTCTATTGGAGTTAAAGTTTTAGAATACACTTAGGATTTAATATGGGGTTATAAGAAGTACTTCTATATCTTTGTTTTGTGAAATATTGAAGAATAAAATACTAAGTTGTCTGCTAAACGTTTTTGTTAATGATTCACAAATTTGGTCAGTTGACTGGAAATGATAGTTTGTGAGAAGCTATAATTTATATAATACTAATGAGAAATTTTTATTTAGTTTTAAAGATTTATTTATTTATTTTGAGAGAGAGAGGAGGGAGGGGCAGGAGAGAATCTTGTAAGCGGATTTCCTGCTGAGCCAGGAGCCTGACACGGGGCTGGATCCCACAACCCATGAGATAATGACCTGAGCTAAAACCAAGAGTGAGATGCATAACTAACTGAGCCACCCAGGTGCCCCACTAATGAAACATTTTCGGATAACATAGGAATTGTAAGGTTGTGTGCTACTTAAGGCCTTAATCTTAAATGAAATTTATTACATGGTAGGCTTGTTTTTGACTTTTACAAGGGTTTGCTGTGTAAGGAGTGCTATTTATATAGAAGGCACCCAGTCTGTGAATGAATCAAGTGCCAGCAAGGCTCCTTGGGATGGTTTCAGCAATAGTCTTAGTTGTTGGTCAGAGCTGAGGATCATATTATAGTGTATGTGCATGGGTGACCCATACCATGGCTTACTTACCTTTAATGACCTGGATTTTGTAAATAGTGGTTTCTGTATAAGGACAACTATTGTTGAAATAGTTGTGGTCCTTTAGATAGTGAACCTTAACTATGATGGTAGGCTTTATTAGGATCTAAAATAGTGTTCTCTTTGGAGAAGAGATTATGTGTATACAATTGTTCAGCTAACTTCTTCCCAGTTGATTTTAACTTACTGCCAGTAAAACAAACAAAAGAGCAGCATGTGTTTTTGTAAGTGGCCATGTAAGGCATGCTATAGACAGAGCCTGCCTAGTGCTTGGAGTCAGAAAGACCTGGCTTCCAAATAGAACTCAATAGAACTTCTGTGACCTGCTTAGTTAACCTTTTTAAAACAGGGAAATAGGGAAGATACTTAAAGGATATCTTAAGATTTAATATCCTTTGTATCTTAAAATGACTCAGCTGTAAATAACTCCTGACTTCTGAGGTTATTTAATTAACATAAGGGGCAGAGAGCTCTAGAAAGAATGCTTATCATCTCTCCAACCCATTATGATTTTTGTAATTTTTCTGAAAAACTAAGATTATTTATAAAACCCTGGAGCCACACTGATATCCCAACCAATCCCAACCATATATGTTAGAGAAATCATAGTCTTTTTGGAGCCCGAGGATGCTGGCCTTTCATTGGGATAGTGTGCCTTGACCCGTGATTAGGTATAAATAGTAGAAGCAGACTCAGGAAGGACGTAATGTAGTTGCATCTGAGAGAGCTGTTAGGGCTGTGTATGCCCATAAAAATAGTGCAGAGTTAAGGAATAATGAGGCTGAGTGAATTTT